GGTATAATGCTGTATTCTTGCTTTGAGCGGTGGGTTAGAAAAGTCCTCTGTAACACAGTGAACCCTTTCTCTGGGACTCCGTTCCTCCTAGATATCGTTCATTGCAACAACCTTGTTTTAGGCAAGTGATGTAACTTGCATGTAACCTTAGAAAAGGCATGTATCCCAAGTCAGCGGGGGGATAAAAATCTTCTTTCTTTGAGCTTGGCTGAAAGAGAGTATGAGCAACAGGGGGAGAAAAAGGCGAAGAAAGGGAGAAATAAAAGAAAGCGGGAGAGATTTTGCAAACAGTGAGGATCACATAATCATGGACGAAGCGAAGGGATGATGTAAGTGTGAAGACATCCTTGTGAGTGGCAGGTAGTTGTCCAGGGTTCTGCCTTCGATTCTTGAGCCGATTGAAATAAGTAACACGACTTTTGCTTTGTTAACGTAACAGAGAGGGTTCGGAAGCGTCTTTGGAGTGATTCAAGACTGATTAGCATTGCTCCAACTCCTGCCGTATTCTCAACTGATAACAAAGTGTGAAGCCTGACTGTATAATTGAAAATAATTGAATAGATGTCCATCAGCCGAAGCGTTACGTTTAAAACCGTTATAGGCAAAATGTTTAAAATGCTGAGTTGTTGGGGGTAAACGCCTGCTATCGACGTGGAATCTCGATTTAAACAGATATGTGCGTAATTGCCTTTGACACGGGGGAGCCAGACGGCGATGTGAGCTGCGGCCAGACCGCGGCTCATTCGTATTCTCACGGGTCCCCAGCCAGCCCGTCTGCAAATATTTACCCTGAGAGCTTCTTTATGATGCTACGGATGAAAACACGCGTGGAGTGGCCGCTCTCAGACGTTAATCACTGTCAACCGCAGGCGTGATCAATAGGTTTGGCACCTCTGCCTGCGCACAGTGAATCAACACATGTTGAAGAGGCTCTTCTGGTCCCTCACATCTAATTGCTTCCTCTTCGGCAACTGTTCCCATCCTCCTCAGAAACCATTAACTGCTGGACAACAGCACTTCTGAGAAGTTGTAATGCGAGTTGGGTAAAGTCAAAGCACTCATCCCCCCCCCCCCCCTTTTCCATTAAGGCTCCGCGCATCGATACCGGTCCTGTAGCGGTCTATCGTGTATTGACTGGTCCCAGATCTGCTGTTTTCCCCATGGTTTTATGCAGGCCGGACAGTAGCGGGGTAATAAATGGACAATAGACGTACATACACAGCCATTAACTTTTAATAGATGTATTAGGCTGGAGAATGCGCCCTACATTTCAAGGTTGTTTAAGGGTGCTTTCTGAGCTGAATTATGCACGAGGAAGCCGGCACACGATGTTTTCAGCTGCCTCCTACTGTAATAAAACCAGAGCTTTGCTGTTTGCAGGCTTAACATATAAATGCTATATTTACTCAAGAAAAGGGGAAGCAAACAGGCACACGCTGTTAGATGTTTCAATCATATGCCTGAGATACATTTTTGTTTTTTCCCTGAACAAAGTGACTTTGTAGAGGGAGAATTGCCATTGATTCAAGAGGCACAGCAGTTACAAAGCAAATGGATGGGTGCAGCCCTTGTTGGTTAGTGTGAGGCCATTGATTTTATTGTACCTGCCTGGATGTGTGAGGTTTGTGTGTGTAAGAAGGTGTTTTTCATTCCTTAACCCTCACCTTCTCAACCCCGAGGGGGTGCGGATGAGTTTCAGATGCTTTCAGGGTTTGTTTCTCTCATCTCTATCCAATCATGGTGCTATTACCCAATTACAAGCCTTATAACCCAACTCATCTTCTCAGCATTTCAGAGTTCGAACTGGCTTTTGAGTCCAGACGTTCTGCTCCAGATATGCATGCACATCCCAGCCCTGTGTGCTAAACAATGACAATTCACCCAATCAGTTCTTCTCTTTAGATCGGATTTCAGTTTGTATTATGGTGCAGACATTGTTTTGTCTGCTCGATCTAGTTACAAAGATTATTCGTTTCACGCAACGTTTAATCTTAATTTTCTGTCCATCTATCTAGCAGGTATAGATCATGTGAGCCGGGCCAGAAATAACCGTCCAATTAGAAAACGTAATATACACAACTACGGAAAGCTAGAGCTCAAAGATCAGTTGGAACCAAATAAGCACAACCATGTGTGAAACGGCGACTTTACACCATGAGATCTTTGTGTTTGACTAGAAAATGATGAATTACCTTGGGTCCTGTCACCCGGCCATCTTTGAGAAATTACCTTGAGGTAAGACTATGTGGGCTATTCTGCTATGTCCAGAGTTTGTAGAATAAATAGACCAGGGCTTTTTATATTTCTGAAATTGGAGTGGTAAACCTTTCAGTCTGGCCAGGTTGGAAAGGAGAGAGAACTGTTCTCTGTGTTTGGAGTGGGAGGAATGAGACAGAGAGAGAAAGAAGAGGTTTGGATAGTCACTATTTCCTGTTTGGTCTCTTTTCATATTGACTTCTTTGTCATCTCAGATTCTACACTTTCTGAATGACTTTTTTCCACTGCTTTCTTATCTTTGTCCATTCACTCCCCTGTCTTTGTTTCAGCCCCTATTTCCCTTTTCATTCCTAATCCATTAGTTCATAATAGATATCCATACAATCTTTTTTGTGTTGCACATTAAGCTGTGGCAAGCTGCAGTATGGAAGCCATTCATGCCTGAAAGAAGGAATTTGTGTGGGGAAGAGATTACATTGGTATTTGTCTTTTTGTTTTTTTACATTTCAATTTTTAAACCACAAAAGAAAGCAAAACATTGAGTGTCATTAAGTTTATTTGACTCAGTTATTCATGAGGGGACACACCAAGCCTCCATCAGCAGCTCAAAGATTTGTTGCCTCCTGCTTATTTGAAAAATGCTTTAAAATGTCCTTGGTGACAGTAACCATGGTAAACATTTAAGGCCCATATAGGCAGATCGTTGCAGTTCCAGTCGTGAAACTTTGGAGTACAGTCGGTTGGATTTAGATTGCATAAATGCTGATTGTTTCACACAGTTGCATCATTCAGGCCCTGCGGTCTTCTCAAAGGGTCAGCCTCTACTTTATCAAACAAAACTGTGTTAAACATTCAGAGTTCATGCAGAGTTACCGAACGCCCCGCAGAGTTTCACCGCCGTATCCATCTTTTACTGGCCTTTTTGCAAAAGCTAACCGGACATTTAAACATTTCACGGCGCACCTAGACAGCTGCTAGCTGGCAGGCTAACCGTCCCGTCACTTTAATTACTGAGAGCAAGTCTTTATGGATCCAAACAATCACACACTAAAATGTGTGTTTTATGTGCTGTAGTGGTTTGAATCAGAAAAACGGGATTTAAAAGCAACCACATGTGACGCAGACATGATATGCCCACCGTTGTGTTTAACCCTTTAAAGCCTGATCCAAGAATAAAACAAAACAGAAAATTACTTTTTTTTGTTTGAGTTCCTTATTTAGCCTTTTAACAAAATATGTTTAAAAAAAAAACTTTTTTTTTTCATATTAATAATTTATTACTATGCGATAAATCAAGATTATTTTTTGTGTAGTCTTCTGCCCCCTGTTATCAGATGTATCTGATTGTGTACAATAAGATTTTGAGCAAAGTTTTTACCATTAAATTATACAAAAGGTGACAGATGCAAAACATTTCAGAAACCGTACGTATCAAATATGATACATTTGGCATTACAGGGTTAAAAATGTAGTCAAGGGCCCTCGAAAGAAGGGGTTACAGTGCAGGCTGATAAAAGCGTCCCCGTCCCCGTGATTACAGAACGTCTGTTCCATCACACTGTATAGATGCGTGCATCCCCTCTATGATTATAACGGAGCTCCCATTGTCACACAGGGAACGTTTGTTTGCCTTGCAGCTCCTCCTTTCCCTCCTGTCTCTTTTCTTTGTCTTTTTTCCCCTCCAATCGTCTTCCTTCTGTTATTTTTTTTTTAATCTCCTTTTCACAATGTGCCACGCTATGTGATAAGGGTCTGTTGAATCAGTGATGGGCTTGTTGCCGCTTTTTGCCGAAAAGAAGTTCCTCTCGTCTCCTCTCGCACAATGAGGGCTTTGCCCTTGTGCCACTGCGAGACTCTGATAATGCCTTGTTGTTGTTCCCATTTATTTGATACGGTGGGTTATCTGCTCAGCACAAAGCAATTGAATTAGGTGAAAACAGGCCTATCGTCGAAGAAAATGTTTTGATAAAAAATTGTTATCTCGGAAATGTCTTCCTGCCGAACAGATGTGAGCGCGGTGTCCAGAGATACAGGCGTGAGGGTCTGAGAGCAACGGGGCGTAATGAGAATAGGAGAATAGCAGTCGTTAGCTTGTTGTGGCTGTGTGGCCGCTAGTTTCCTCATCGACAGTCCGGATCCATGCAGACACGCGGTGTCATGGAGGCCCTAACCCCAAACGGGCATGTGCTCCATGCAGATGTTCTGGTTTCACATCTGGTATGCTCCTCAGATTCTCTCTCATCGGATTGTTAGAATTGGGCTATAAGTTCTCACTTTAGCACAATATGTTATAACTTAATCCATATAAATGACGGATTGTCTTATTCCTTTTTAGATTTATACTATTCCCTTTATAATCATACTTTTCGGTTGAACTTTCTGGCTGTGTCTCCTCCTCCTTTCTCTGTTACAGTAGATACTCGTCTTAAAAGTCAACATTCACACTTTCTTATCACATTCCACTGAAACCTGCATGAATTAGGACCTTGCCTGTTCATGTCAGAGCTAACTGCCCAATAACACTCGGTTACGTCCAGCCCTCCTTGCCAGCTTAGATCCTCCGGGAACTTTGTCTGTGAGAGCCCAACGCTGATTTACTTTGCTTGTGACCAATAAATGTCATATTTGTACTCTCAATCTGCTCTGGTTTGTTCTCAGGCTTCCAACTAAAGAATCGGACTAACAGGATTAAACCATCCAGTTTGGTGCCATGTTCATAAATTACGACTTCTCTTGGAATTCCATGTTAATCGTATCTTTTCCCCGTCCCCTTTCTCCTCCAGATCGCACTGGGAAGCGCTCCACCATGCCCGACTCACCTGCGGACGTCAAGACACAGTCCAGGTTGACCCCCCCGACCATGCCGCCCCCACCTAGCACCCAAGGAGCACCCCGAAACAGCTCCTACACGCCCACCACATGTGAGTAAAGCAGGACTTATTCACGCCATCCCCTCGGATCGCTTATAACCTGAACAAGTCCAAGTCTCCGACAAGTTCCAGAGCTGGAGACAAGTCGTAGAGAGACACAGTGGTATTTTCTTGTCATTAATTAAAGCCCTCCGAAGCAAAGTTGCTGCAGTAATTGGTGTGTGCCAAAGCGAATGAACAAATGTACATGACACTTGTGGAGGACATCTCCTGCCAGAGTTAAATCCTTAATTTAACTGGTCTGATAGAAGTGATCCTCACTAAAGACGAATGGGTCACACTTTGGCTCTGCTCCAACTCTTCATTGAGTTTAGTGCAATTTCGTCAGATTAGTTTTTTATTCATATTTCTGAAAGAAAAAATCAAGAAAAGAAATAACTCCAGATGAAAACTCAGATCAGCATGGAGCAGAGTGGGTGCAAAAGTGTAAACATATCATAAGCAATCTTTTGTTTAAAGTGGGTCAAACAGCTCCAGGTTTGAACCAAATGAGAACAAGCCCACACGGAATATTTTCATTGTAATGGGCAAACATCATCCCTCCATTTTCTATGCCGCTTATTCCATGAAGAGGAGCGCAATGTGGAGTACTCTGAAGAGGTCAAAGTGTTGGAAGCATTTAATAGGACCCCTTTATTCCAGTATTGTATTGTAATGTGTCATAAATAATTTGTGAATAAATAGGAGAGAATTGAGCTAAATCAGTCTGAGAGGTGCACAACACCTCACACTAAGACAGGAGAGATCCGCAGGAGCTCACACAAAGGTCACATTATGCAAATGATCAAACAAAAAACCGAGGGGGGGCACATCAGCGTCATAAGACCCGATTAACAAGTCGCACTGAGCTCTCCCAAATTGCAAACAACTCCCCCAACAAGTTCATTAACGCCCATGCTTACGAACCGTTGGAGCTTTGCCACGAGGCGCGCGTTGCTTGTGATGAGCAAATTACACCCTAGAATTCTCTAAGAAGTAGATACTTAACCACTCGCGTGAAGTGCACTAGAATCAAGGAAATCAGAGGCCCCGTGGCTCAGAATATTCCGAGCACTCAAGTCTGTCTTGGCGCTGCCTTATTTTGTTCTTTTTCAGCTCCCACTCTCCCTTTTTTTTCATCCCGGCTGCTCGCTTTTCTTACTCCGTATCTGTCTTCTCCCGTTCTGCCGCAAACGCTCGCACTCCACAATTAACGTCTGGGCTTCCGTGCAGAAGAGGGAGGAAAAGGCCCGGGCTCTCTCATTACGCACGCCAAAGGTTTTAACAAAGCAGCGCGCTTTGATTTCCCATCCGACGTAATTGTTACCAGATGCGGTTTGAGTATCTCGTCCCTTTCTCTCGCCTCTTTACGGCGGCGGGCTTTGGACAGCGGCCAGAGGGGGAGTGAGCGGATCGCTAGTCAGGACCTAATCTCATTAAAGCCAGAGCTTTGTGCCTCCTTGTATCTCTTTGTGTACAACCAACCCCCACAACACACGTGCACGGACACGCACTGGATGGTGCGCGACGGGGGTCCCACTGTCCCGGCAACACGCCTCCGAACATAGAAATCTGTTTTTGTTTTGTTTTTTTACGAGAGGATGTCACAAGGGATCAAACGAGGCGCAGCAATTGGAAACAAATGTGGAGGATTGGAGGATGTTTTTAGGGGAATGTGGAACGTGTCAAATCAGCTCAGGGAAGCCGATCGTTGTCGGTTACAGACGTTCTCTTATGAGTCGCCTTCACTGTCACCTCGCACTGTTAAAGTAGAAGAATGTGTAAAAACAACAACAAAAAAAAGTAAAAACTACTGCATTTGGTGTTGGTGGTTAGCACTGTCGCCTCCCAGCAAGAGGGTTCTAGGTTGGAGTCCCTGGGGAACCAGGAACCAGAAGGTTCTGGGTTGAAGTCCCGGGGGAACCAGGACCAGAGGGTTCTGGGTTGGAGTCCCGGGGGAACCAGGACCTTTCTGGGTGGAGTCTGCATGTTCTCCTGTGTCTGTGGGTTCTCCGGCTTCCTCCCACCGTCCAAAAACCTGCATGTTAGGTTGGTTGGACTCCAAACTGCCCTTAGTGTGTGTGTGTGTGGTTGTTGGTCCTTGTGTGTCTCTGTGTGTCCCTGTGATGGACTGGCGGACTGTCCAGTGTGACCCCGCCTCTCCCCATTGACCAATGGGATAGGCTCCAGTTCCCATCAGGGAATAAGCGGTATTGATAACGGATGGATGGATGGATGGATGGACTACTGCATTTCATCTGAACAGCGCGTTATGTTTGTGTGTCCCTCAGTAACCAATGGGAGCAGCCACTCCCCGACGGCCCTGAACGGCGCCCCGTCCCCCCCCAACGGCTACAGCAACGGGCCCAGCTCCTCCTCCTCCTCCTCCCTGGCCAACCAGCAGCTGCCGCCGGCCTGCGGGGCGCGGCAGCTCAGCAAGCTGAAGCGCTTCCTCACCACGCTGCAGCAGTTCGGGAACGACATCTCGCCCGAAATCGGCGAGCGCGTCCGCACGCTGGTGCTGGGGCTGGTGGTGAGTGGCCGCCATACACGTGTCAAAGGGGGCTACCAGAAGGCCTCCGTTAGCAAAAAGAAGGAGAATAATTAATTTAATTTGTTTGACATTACCAGGTTTATTTATTTCATTTCTTTAATCAGGACAGTGCACATTAATGAACAATCTCATACAGATTGTAAATGAGCCAGATTATAGCATAGTTGCTAGTTTACATCTGTCGTCCTGAGGCAGGAAGACCAAACAACACAAAATCACAAAATAGTCCAAACACACGTTCAGACAATGACATTACAAAATTAAAATCAATTCAATTCAATTCAATTCAATTTTATTTATATAGCGCCACATCACAACAACAGTTGTCTCACAGCGCTTTCCAAACAGAGCAGGTCAGACCCTACTCTGAAGTTAACTACAGAAACCCAACAATTCCCACCATGAACAAGCACTAGGTGACACAGGCAAGGAAAAACTTCCTTTTAACAGGCAGAAACCTCGAGCAGAACCATGGCCTTTTAGGGGGAGAAAAGTGAAGGAAAAAAGATTAATTGTTGTCACCCACGCGTTATTATCTCACATAAATTCTTAAATTGCTTTGATGTTCCTCAGGCTAAAAGTTTTTTTTTTTTTTTACACCTTAACTTTTAAGTGTCAACTCTCCACAGAACTGTAAAACGACTTCCTACTCAAGTATTTAATGTATTTAAAGGATTTAAGTGTTCCCACTTCAGTGTATTTTAAGATACTTTAGATGGGTATTTCCTGCTAATGCTACCTCATCCATGTATACTGTGAATGGAAAAGTAACAACATAATGTCAAGATATCTCATTTACAATGTTTAAAACAGTCCTTTTAGAAGTTTGATACTTTTCTCTGATTCACAGTTTTTACAGGTGAATAGTCTTTAATGGTCAGGGTCAGAAAATGTATGTTCATGGCTACATTACATTGTAATTCACTATTCATAGATCATATCACATGTAGGAATCAGAAAACAGATTTTGTACAAACAATATATTAAAATCCAAATTAACATATTGAGTATCTCAATTAACTTCAGTTAATAGATTTGTGTATTTGAATGTTTTCTTGTTATATTTTTTATATGTAATATTGCAAACTGCCTCCACAACAGTTCCATGCTGCAGATACATCTATGTAAAACACAATTATTCATCTTTTTATTTTTCAAAATGTAATCAAAGACAGTTTGAGGATCAACTGTTAAGTTAGTTGATATAGTGAACAAGTGAGATGAATTTGTGCGATCAAAATGACATCTTTCAAATGGCGCCTCAAGCATGAAACTACATTCACATTCAGAATAGATCTGATAAGACAGATGTGTTTCCCACCTTAGTTTGACATCAAGGCTATATCTGAAAAACCACATATGTAAAATACGTGTCGCAATCTGAAGATTTAGCACACATCTGCGAGGGGAAATTGAAGCTTAATGAGCAGGGGGGGGTACAGAAATAGCAACTGAATATTGTGTAGAAGGGGAGAAGAAGGATGGAGCTGAGGGGGAAATAGGGAGGATTTTTTTTAATTAGTCACACAGAGCATAACCTGCTTTTGGTTTCCCTGTGTTTATTTTTCCTCGGCGTCTGCGTGTGCACATGTCTCTCCGGTGTCCTTTTGGCTTGCACACCTCCGCACCACATCTCTGCCCCCCCCCCCCTCCTCTTCCTCTCCACACCTACACTCTCTCCGTCCCTCCTTCTGGCTTATTGAAAAGAGTGACACTGTTAATTAGAGAGTCGTGTGGCGGGGAGAAGGAGCCAGGCAGACTCAGGAGGGTTCAGGAGCTGTCAAGAAACAGCCCCGACGCAATCTGGGCGAACAGATGTAAGGCTGAATGTGACAAAATTCAGATCTGGGAAATAACGCGGAGTGCGGGGAGGAAATAATAATAATAATAATAATAATAGTGTCTGCTGCTTTTCCCGTCCTCTGCCTGGCTCGATTCGTCTCTGTTATTTTCCCTCCTCGTCTGCACGCTTAGCGCTTGCGTCCTTATTTTTAACTCGTCTGCGCTTGATGTTATAAATTAAAAATAGTATCGCTGCCAACTCGTTAGCTTTTACAGCGGGAGCACAAAGGAAGAGACAGAAATCATACTTAGTTTGAAGGTATGAAGATGTGTGTGTCAGTCAGCATTTGTTTGAAATGAGGAGAAAAGGCAACAGAAGACAGATTCAACTCTGCTAATAAATGCAAAAATACCAGACATGAAACTCTGATACCACAGACTGTGAGCTTCCAAAGAAAAAAGCCAATCAATAGGAAACTAAACTACATCCGTTCTTAGATCAGGAGGCTCTAAATATAATTGAATAATCTTGATTTCAGAAGACTGCCTGACATTTAATACTTACTAAAACATCCATTATGGGATGGTGTGAATACATTAAGCTGCACTTATCCAGCTATAAAATATATTTTGAGTAGGTCACTTCTAGTAAAAAACAAGCCAAACAGCTTGACTTAATAATAAAAATATATAAATCCAAGATTTTTTAGCAAACTACGGATACTTTTATGACATTTCTGCTTCTTAAAAATGAATGAATAAGAATCATCTCTTAGTCTTCTTAATTGAAGGAGATATGTGTCATTTCTTTCTTTTTTTTTGTTGGTAAGGCTCCTTTCACTGTGGCCTGCCACATATGCTTCTTATTACAAAAGCCTAAACACTCACTGCAGGCCAGGATATAGCTTAGCTTCCAATAAGTAATACTATCGCTTAATGCCTTCCACATGGGTTCATGCATTTTTTTTCTGTCCTTTTTCTTCTCCAGAATTCCACCCTGACCATCGAGGAATTCCACTCCAAACTCCAGGAAGCCACCAACTTCCCCCTGCGACCGTTCGTCATCCCCTTTCTGAAGGTAGATATTCGGATACAACAACAACAATAACACACCGGTGGCCTGGAGAGCATTTTGTTAGCTGAAATCCAGATGTGCACGCTGATGTTCACAGTGTTCATCATCGTTTTGACCCTTTTTTTTAACAACTCCAGCTATTAGTCTGTTTTACATCCATCCAGAATTTGCCGCCTCTGTCTAATCAACGGTAAAATATTGTCACATTATCTACTCTTTTTACCTCAGTAACTCACATTTTGCACCAGTCCTTTCAGTAACAAAGCCAGTATTACTCTCAACATCTGGACCCTCATTATATTCAGTCTGTACGACGTTCCAACATGAACAAATCTGTTACTTTTAAGAAAAATAAATCGATTCCTCCATATGCTCTGACCCGGCCTTCTTCTCCTCTTCCTCTTCCTTTCATTGTGACATTGATTCTTCATCCCCACCAAACAACTTGGCCAGTGCGTCTGTTTCTCAGCCATTAGAGCGCCGCATTAGTGGGTAAACATAGAAAATAAGAGGGATGGCAATGCTTGTGTTTGTGTTTTGAGATGAATAGTTGCTTTTGTTGGATATCTATAAGTTGCTTCACTAGAGGTTTAAGTGGTAGAGATGACTTAGTTTAGTCAGAGATGACTGTAATAACTTGTGTTTATATTGAAGGATAATAGATTATGTTATTGAGTCTCATATTCAAATCTGAGTGGTAAGGGACAAAATGCTCATTAGTTTCTCACTTTTCTTTTGCCTTTTACTCTATTTTATCACATCAATTTCTTTATCTCTTGGTGTCCAAATGACGGACAGCGAATGATATTTAAAAGACAAATACATCTTCATTTTACACAATTTGTGAGCCTGTGAATCTGACATTCACAGGCCCATATCATCCTCTAAGATCTGGGATGGTTACGGGCAGCAGAAATGGGTCCCAGCAGAGCTGTAAGCACTGATTTTTTGCATTCTCCTCTTTACTTCCTCACATCAGCTGCTTATTTACAACTTTTCTTCCTCGTCTTTCCTCTCGGAGTCCCTCGCCTTCTCATCTGATCCCTTTTGTCTCTTTCTTTGTGCCGTGACATTACTGTTCTCCATCCTGCCATCCTCCCTCCTCCAGTTCCCCCTTTTCCCATTCCTTGCCAGATGGTTAGTGTATCACCGGGGTGGCTGAGGAATCAGAGATGCAGTTCTCTCTTTTTTTTTTTCCTCCATCGCTCCGTCTCTGCCTGTCTCTCTCTCTCCCCAGTCTAATTTTAGTGTCTCCCCACAGCGGGGCCTTTAATGCCAGCTAGCATATGGTAGAGAGGAGCGGCTTTTATAGGTGCGTCCAAGCACAGCTGCAACAATGTACACCAGGGCTCCCGGTTTCTCATCGCAACCCCCCCGTCTAGAAACCAATGGACTCCTATTCCCCTTTTCTTAATGCTCAGCCGCAAATTGGTGAGGAGTCTTTACTGGAAGGAGGCAATCTGCGACCACACAATGCCTGTTTTGCGGGCCCCGTAACAGGGGTTTTTCTCTCTTTCCAGGCCCGAGTCGGGCTTTTGCTCTCAGTGCGTTTGGCTCTTCCTGTGTCGGGCTTAAGTGGAAGCCGTGCGGTGAGAGAGAGAGAGAGAGAGGAGGAGACACACTCGGTGGTGACGACGAGTCGTGACAGGAAATCATTAAAATAGAACAATAACGGCTTTCGAAACTACCAAGTCACCGTTTCCCTCCAGTGGTAAATAATATAGAATCTGAAAGCTGATGACATGCGTCATATTCTGGAAGATTACACTAGATTATGACATGCGTCATATTCTGAATAGTTTTTGGCACCATTTGATGAAATGTGAAACTCAGTATTCGAATGATAAATCATCCAGAGCAGATTTTACCTGAACGCTGCCTCAAAATCTTCTTTAAAAACTATTTTTAAAAGACCAAGTGTGGATGTTCATCATCTGAAAAATGATTCACTGATTCATTTTGTTGGCCCATATTCTTGACTCTGCCTTTTCGTTAACGCCTCCCACGTCTAACTAGGAATTAGAATGACCTCCAATTAATAAAATATGAGTTCAGCCGGGTCAAAGCAATCTATTTTCGGCTCCTTTTTTTCAGGTTGTAATTATGACCATAAACCATTAACGGACCATTAACCCGGGCAGGTAAAGGGAAGGCCAGCGGCTGGCATTTTCTTTTATCGCAGTCAATTACAGGAGGGAGATTTTCAAATGATTATAGCAATAATATAAGAGAGCAATTCACACGTGGGTTCTGTTCTGTGTTCTATTTCCCCCTAAAGAGGACCAGAGTAAATGGTCAAAGAAGGAGAAGCAAACTTCTCCACTGGGAGAATGAATGAAAGTGCAAAAGTTTTAAGGCAGAAAAGAAGAAAAAGAGGTTACAGGTGAGAGTGTGATTCTGTTTTTGAAGGGAAAAACAAAGATTAACAGAGCTAAAACTCCAAAAGATGGCTCCTCCGAAAGCTCGTGTGATGTACTTTGCCAAAATGGCCACTTCAGTCTGAGCCTGCCTGACGCAACACTTTCATCTTCTTGCTCTGAAATGCTCCCCATCAGATGTCTTTGAAGTGGGGGCTCTCATACCTGCGTGTCCCTGTGAGTCAACAGAAGGGGGGCCGAGCACCCTCGTTACAGGTGTGTCGAAAAAAGAGCGAGAAAAAGCCGCTCGTCTTCTCGAAAACGAGAAACTTTGCGGGTGTTGATGCACTCGGGGTCACGGGAAGCAGAGACAGAAGAAAAGCAGCTCCTGTTACTTCAAATCTGAGAGTTTGGACTCAGAAAATGTATTGCAAACAAGTCACACTGGAAAATGAAACAGCAAGAGTATATCACGCTTTAATTTAAGTTGGATTGAAGTCTATTTCATGGCCTTGAAGGGTGTACAATGACTGTTTTTGTACAAAGGAAAATGAATTGCTATATTTTTATGTTAGAAAATAGGTAAACTAACCCTTTAAAGCCTGATCCAAGAATAAAACAAAACAGAAAATTACTTTTTTTTTGGTTTGAATTTTTTTTTTATATGAATAATTTATTACTATGCAATAAATCAATGATATTTTTGTGTAGTCTTCTGCCCCCTGTTATCAGGTGTATCTGATTGTGTACAATAGGATTTTGAGCAAAGTTTTTACCATTAAATTATGCTAAAGTTGTCAGACACAAAACATTTCAGAAACCGTATGTATCAGATATGATACATTTGGCATTACAGGGTTAAGCTAATAATCCGTCATATTACTGTCAGTGCCGATCTATAGTGAATACCGCGTTTCCTAAAGAGAACAGAGGTAAACAGCATTTGGGTCGTGTGGTTTTCCGTAGGCCAACCTGCCCCTCCTGCAGAGGGAGCTGCTGCACTGCGCCCGGCTGGCCAAGCAGAACCCGGCCCAGTACCTGGCCCAGCACGAGCAGCTGCTGCTGGACACCAGCACCACCTCGCCCGTGGACTCCTCCGAGCTCCTGCTGGACGTCAACGAGAACGGCAAAAGGAGGACGCCAGACAGGTGAGTCTGCGACCCCCCCCCACCCCCGGCTGTTTTTTTCATTTGGTGACTATTAACTCATTGACTGGCAGCCATTTTCAGAACAGAGTCCCATACTGCCAGAGTTTTTTTAGCATTTTGACTGATTTTTCAAGAGCCACAGAATAGTTTGTGCTATGACTATGTAAACACCGAACACACCAAAAGAAAGAGTAGACTCTCTTCTTTCATTAGGAAAAAAAATTTGTTTCTACCTTATTCCGTTCTTCCTGGACTTGCGTCTCACCGGCGACATGTTCTCTCATAGCGAACCGTTACCTTTTTCTTATTTGCCTACAGTCTATGCTCATCTCCCATCAAAAGTGGCACTGCCACCTAGAGGGTCAATTTGTTAGTACATACTCTGTCTAGAAGCCTGATATTTACGGACAAGCTTTAGCAGATCGTCCCCCCAGCCACTCTCGTTGAAAAACATAAAAGACGTCTATAGACGTCTTTTGCGGTCAACGGTTGTATTTGAATTGACGTCTATAGACGTCTTTGGCAGCCAATGAGTTAATTTGCAATTACACGAGCGCCTGCAGAGTTCCTAAACTTCCCCGTTTCGCTCGCACCGAGTCGCTGTAGTTTTTTGAAAACGCTCTATTATTTGAGCTCATGCATAAATCCCTTTGAGGCCGCTCGCATCCCCGCGAGCTGATGCATTAATCCACAGACACGGGCTGAGCCAATACGAGGCAACAGTGTGAGTCACAGAAGTGTGTGTAGGGGAAGTGCTGTCAGTGTGCCACCGGGCCTTGTGATGTGCTCCACTGGACTTCTCAGCCTCTGGGTCCCGCTCCTAATGGGCCAGAACTGACCTGGGAGAGGTGTGTCTACACCCACAAACTTATATACATGCATATCTACATATATATATAGTCTGTGCTTCCATTCCACATTATTAAAACATCATTTTCACGTCTGTAACTGAACTTTTTGTCACATCTGGGGGAATGTCTGGTGTCTCGTCATGTTTTGATCACCTATTGTGTACACCTGGGGTTCCCCTCCCTCATGTGTTTAAATAGTCCTCGTTTCCCATGTCCTGTGCCAGTGCGTTTGTTTCGTCTGTCTGTTTTCTTCACCCCACGTCAGGTTTGATTTTGTCACAGCCTAGTTTACTTTATTGCCATAGTCTTGTTTTTGTACCATAGCCATGTTTTTGCCATAGCCTTGTTTACCTTATTTGATACTTTGTTCATGTTTTTGCCACAGCCATGTTTTTGCCATAGCCTTGTTTACCTTATTTGATACTTTGTTCATGTTTTTGCCATAGCCTTGTTTACCTTATTTGATACTTTGTTCATGTTTTTGCCATAGCCTTGTTTACCTTATTTGATACTTTGTTCATGTTTTTGTCACAGCCGTGTTTTTTCACAGTCATGTAATCTTGCTTTGTTACTTTGTTCATAGTTTTTTTCACAGCCTTGTTTTGTCCCATGTCTACCATCCACTCCTTTTGAGTGTGTTTTTGTTCAAATAAACCCTTGTTTCCATATCTCCGCGACTGAGTCCTCCCTCCAGATCCACCCCATGACACTTTTTGCATTTGCCAGTTACAATATAAGCATTGTCTTCTCAGAGTTCCTCCGATCCATATTATCTTTTTTATTTAACCGTTTAAAGCCTGATCCAAGAATAAAACAAAACAGAAAATTACTTTTTTTTTGTTTGAATTCCTTATTTGGCCTTTTAACAAAATATGTAAAAAGAAAAAAAAGAAATACTTTTTTGATATTAATGATTTATTACTATGCGATAAGTCAAGATAATTTTTTGTGTAGTCTTCTGCCCCCTGTTATCAGGTGTATCTGATTGTGTAAAATAGGATTTTGAGCAAAGTTTTTACCATTAAATTAAGCAAAAGGTGTCAGAGGCAAAACATTTCAGAAACCGTATGTATCAAATATGATACATTTGGCATTATAGGGTTAATACAGGTATGAGAAAGAACAATGTACAATATTTGTACGTTTATTTGCTGAAGGCCCCAAAAAATCCGAGTGTGATATTAATGATTCTCCCTTCTCTTTTCCCCTAACCGCCTGACAGGCAGAGCTTTTCTGTAAAACCTGCATGTTTGCAGGCCGGGGGCTGCGCTTAGGGGGGAAAGTTGTGTCCGTGTGTGCATTGTGAAGGGGGGGGGAATATATAGCGTAAAAGAAAGTGTGAGTCTGTCTCATGTATGTGAGTCCGCGCGCGTGTGTGTGTGAATGTGTGTGTGTGCCCAGGGAGATGGGTTGATAACACATACAGATGAGGCTCCAGCATCAATATGGCTGGCTAAGCACCTCTTGTTTCTGCTTACCTCTGCTCTGCATCCCTAGTCCTTGTCAAGACTATTGGAATTTGAACCAGAATCCTTAATTACAGGAAACAATGCGCTATCACTGCAACCTTCTGGATACAACAATCTGCATAAACCAGGCAACACACATCACGCTATAACATGCATATAAGGGGAAAGGTAGTCTAAAGAAAATGCCGTCATGGGTACACAACATAATAAGAATGGAAATTGTCTTCTTCTGAGTTTTCTCATGTAACAAAACTCAGAACTAATTGGCTTATTCAGATGAGTTTGGCTTATTGTTTTCAGTGTTAATTAAATTTCTTATGCTGTGAATGAATAAGTGAGCAGAAGATGATCCGATCTCCGTAAGACATAAAGTCGTGGATGGATTTGTATTAGATTGTATTTTTGTTTTGAACCGTTTTTGATTGAAAGAATGAGTTTAGTAAACATCCCACTCAATTTGGTGAACCTTTTTTTACCAAAGTCTCCGACTTTAATCAGTTTGTTTGTCTTCTCCATTGCTATAAAAGCAAGATAAAACATTTAAAGCTTTATGAATATTCCAACTCAACTCATCCACACAAACTGTGCGGTCCTCTAAACACCGGCTATACCTATGAAAATGGTTTTGATGCCCACAAAACAGAGACTTGTAAGAGAAAAGGCTTTTTCACTTATTCTTCAGTTTGCAATGTGGTGAAAAAATGGATGTTTAAATCCATACATTTCTATCTATTAAACTTCTCAGATAACTTTTCAGTATAAAGGACAAATGCTAAAAGCCTTTCTTGGAATATTTTTTGCCGTCCTCTTGAGATCACAAGCATGTTATTCTGTTACCTCAAATTGAAAAAGCATGTTTAAGCATGATGGATAGTTAAAGTATCCACATGGGTCTGTTGTAGCTGCAAAATAAAAACTTTTTATCCTCAGTAAACAAGCAAGTAAACGGCTGATGTCGTCGCTCGTTGTTACTGTGATTGTTTGTGTTGATCTTCAATTTTAACTCAATCCATGCATGTGTAATTCTTTTTTTCTGAAATGTGGGTTTCAAATATCTTCTCTAAAGACAAAAAACTAAAAAACATGTTGCAGAAACTGACCAAAAAACACATTATTGTGGGCTCTTGACATGCACACCAGGTCCATGTTGGAATCGTGTTACATTCAGGCCCAGAAGTCGACCCCTCCCCCAAAATCTGCGAAAGAATTGCATTGCAAGAATCCGAACTACAACTTTTGCGGAAAGAACGAGTGGAAATCCCACAAAACAAGAGCTGGGGGACTCTTAGCAGCTGCAAAAAAAGCTGTTTACAAGCTGTGAGACTCGACAAAGGGAGCGCTGCTAAGAAATGACCGTGCGGGGACCCCCGGACTTTTCTCCTCGTTTTTCCACTCGGAAACGATAAAAGCTTGTTATCCTTGTCTGTTTATGCGAGCTGCGAGTGGTACTCCGGTCTCCAGCTTCTTCGTGAGAACACAATAAATAGATTAAACCGTGCAAATACGGTTGCGCTGTTGGTGTGCGTGTGGATTGAACACACACACACCCCTGCGTTGCAGCAATGGCCTGCGCTGCCTGGAGATGTAAACATTGTTGCAGCAGAAAAAGGCCAGGGAGAGAGGAAAGGGAGGGGGGGGGGGGGGGGGGGGGGGGCGGGGGGGACGGGGGGGTGGGGGGGTGGGAGGGAAAAGTGGGGGGAGACGGAGAGATGGACGGATGGAAGAGAAAAGAGCATATGGAGAGCTGTGGATGAGCATTAGGAGCCCATAAAAACAGCTCATTAAGAAGTTCAATCTGTTCATCGGAGAGAGAGAGAGAGATGGGAGAGGAGAGGAGAGGAGCGAGACAGAGGGGGAGAGAGGAAACGGGGGAGCCTGCCGATAGCGGGGGAGGTTGGCAAGTTTTAGCTGTGAACCGGCAAAGCTGAGAACACACACACACACATACACATAATGCAGAAACCCAGACACACATATGCACACACAC